TAAAATGTAGGCATGGCGCTTTGTTTTACAATCAAAGCAAACGGTTCCCTGGCTTAAGAAGCTCAAAGTTTGGGGGGACATGCCAAGGCCTGAGGTTAGGGGTCTCAGCGAGCTTAGGGGGTTGTTGAGATTGGGGCTTTCGGTTTTCGGGGCGTTACGGTTGGCGGGCGGGTCATCGACTGCTATTTCTGTCGCTACTTCTAGTGCTACTGCTACTGCTACTTCTACGGCTACGGCTACTGTCGCCCATTGTCTCACACAATGGGAAAGCGGCGCGGCGGCTGGTCCAAGAAGTTCTCCTCCAAGGAGGAGCGTTTGGCTGCCACTGGGCGGCGGCCGCCACGGGGTGTGCCTTCTGGGACTGGAACATCTGGCGACACCGTGTCGCCCAGCCCGAGTCCAGTTCCTTGACCTGAGACATGGAGTTTTGCTTCAGGATTACTGTATCGGGTAGGCCTGATTCGAAGGTTTGGGATCATTCGATAGGACCTGGCATAAACCAGGCTTTTATTGTTTATGTCTTGTCGGCCGTCTGTGGAGGAGGCAGAGGCTGAGCTCGAGCCGCCGAGCGAGCCTGGCGCTGACACTGGCATCGCGAAGCCAGTGCCTTTGTGGGAATCGTTTCATTAAAGTGCTTTTGTGGGAATCGTTTTTTTTTTAAGTTGAAACCATATATTTTACATCCATTCGCACTTGGCTTGTTATGTCCTGTCAGCCTTCTGTGGAGGAGGCAGAGGTTGAGCCAGAGCCGCCGAGCGAGCCCGATGCTGACATTGGCAGCTCGAAGCCAGTGCCTTTGTCGGAACTCCCACGTTAAAGCCGAAACCCTGGGTTGTACGTCCATTTGCACCTGGATCGTTCTTACAACCTCTGTAAAAGCCTCCCACACCTTCCATCTTTTCCCAGGACGCGGCGAGTGCAACGAGCATGCCGGCTACGGCGGCGGAGACCCTCCTCCCGAGGCTGCCCTGGCCCTTTGTCTATGAGGCCGCTCCCACGGCCCCTGTGGCTGGGCGGGTCCCTGCTTCTTCGGCTGTGGCTTCGACCGACCCCTGGTCTCATTTATATAGGGTTAAAAAGTCGAGCAAATGTCATGAAGGAGGGCTAAACTGGTAAGTTTCCTCCTTGTACTCAGTGGCCTGTAACGGTCCCAACTCTAGTAATTGATGAGTGAGCTTCTTCACTGATGCTAGTTAGGCGTTATTTCCGGTAGTCGGGGCTGATAGTCTTCATCTCACCAGCGAAGGCGAATGCGGCGGCCGAGACAGCCAAGCGGCAGCGTACGGCTTGACACATTTGCTGGACTATTTCTTTTTGACGTCACAATCGTTCTGAAGGCTGGCTCGGCGCGTGTTAGTTTCTCTTGGACATCCAAGACAGCAAGGCCGTCGTTTCTTCCAGTCCGCGTTGGCTGCCAGCATGGCGGTCCAGTGCTGGGTCAGTCATTATGCGCGTTGCCGCAACCTCAATGTACAGGCTGTTTCTGCAGACATATGCAGACGTGGACGATCGCACCACAGTCCGAGACGTCTCGAGTCCCCAAACCCCAAACCCCTAGGCCCAAACCCCAAAACCCAAACCGAAAATCCCAAACCCTAATTCTGGAGGTGAAGAGCAACGGGGCGAAGGACCGGGCCCCCATCAAGCCGCCGGACCTGGGCAAAGAAGGCCCCCGGACTTCAGGCAAAGGCTTCAAGCCAATTTTATGGCACTTTCAATCAGATCCCCCAAAAAGACAGAGGTCGACTCGAGGTCTGAGGGCATGAAGGTCGCATGGGAGTCGGTTCAGCCAAGCAGTTCCCAGTGGCCCCCCCCCCCTATTCCCCCCCCTTATTGGCTGGAGGAGATGTTCAGGCGGCAACTAGCGTGAGATCAGGGATCCTGGCAGCCCTGGAGCATCTGCGCATCGTGATGTTGACCGCAAGTTTTGTGATCGGACCACCGGAGAGACGGCTAGCCATGACCACGATGTCTGGGTCTGGGTGACAACGGCGACCTCTTTGAATCGTTGAGATGGCTGCAACGCAATAAAATTGCATTGACTCTGCCATTCCATTTTTTTGAAACACTGCTTGGTAGGTCCGCGCGCAGCACGGGCTTTAACCGCTTTTGGGCGGGGCGAGCCGCTGCCGCGAACCGCAGCATGCGACTTCAGTGCCTCTGGGATTCAGCGCCTCTGGGACTCTGGATAAAAGATGCTGGAAGTTGTTCTCGAAATGTTGAGACCGAGATAGCTGACATTGTGCAATAGGGGCACGAGCTCGTCGGTTTTTTTTGCTGCTGCTGTTTTGATTGAGCTAGCAAGAAAGACATTGCCAAGCAACACCAGTCACTGTTGTTGGACCACTGGTGCCAGCCTGCTGCCATGACACTAGGTGTGGCGGATGCACCAATGATGCCTTCCATCACAGAGCAGTGCCCGCCAAAGATCTACATCGGCACGAAGCGTCGGTTTCAGCAAGGACCTGTGTGTTGCTACGAGCTTGCCAGGGTGGGTTCCTGTCCCAGGCTGATCTACGTATGCAGGTCGCCCCCAGAGATCACTATCGTTGCGTTTTTCCCTTTTTTCCTCGATTCTTCCCTTTTGGTTTTCTTGTGAGACAGAAGACACAAAGGACCGGGCGGTGCTTTGAATTTGGAAACCAGGGTTTGGCTGCCCCGGAAGCCAAGGACCAGGCGGGCCTTGCGTTTTGCTAAAACCGAAGGACCAGGCCTAAGGGCCTTGGCTTTAGAAAAATTTCGGAGCTGGCTCCGTGGTCCTGCTCAAGGTCGTGGAAATTGGCTGTGTGCATGTGGGGGACGGTAACGAGGCTCGTAGAATCCAGACGAATAGGAATCTGTGGTCGAAGCTGACCGAGGGGAATTGGATGCCCAAGAAGCCAAGGAGGTGGGCCTTGGGTTTTTTAGAAAACTCAAGGAGCAGGCCTTGGGTTTGGGAGAACCCCAGGACCAGGCGGGCCCTGGGTTGGGAAAACCCAAGGACCAGGCGGGCCTTGGCTTTAGAAAAAACCCAAGGATCCGGCGGGCCTTGGGTTTGGCTCCGCGGTCCTGTGTACGTATGCAAGTCGCCCCCAAGAGATCACCTATGGTGGCAATGATGATGTGATGTGTACGTATGCAAGTCGCCCCCAGAGATCACCTATGGTGGCAATGATGATGTGATGTTCATCTGTGAAGAGCAAGGGGGGTACTTCGTTGCTTACGAAGGAAAAGTGGTGAATACTCCAAACATCCAGGCGCTGGTGCAGCGAGGTGCTGTCTTTCGCACCACCAGCGCTGGGAGATCAATTCCATCCCAACTCGCGCCAGTTCTGATGCTCCGTAGGAGAATCCCAATTGGGAAGTGTGTGGTGCTACGAGCTTGCCAGGGTGAGTTCCTGTCCCAGGCTGATTTACGTATGCAAGTCGCCCCCAGAGATCACTATCGTTGCGTTTTTCCCATTTTTGTTTTGGTTTTCTTGTGAGACAGAAGACACAAAGGACCGGGCGGTGCTTGAATTTGGAAACCAGGTTTTGGATGCCCCAGAAGCCAAGGACCAGGTGGGCCTTGGGTTTTGCTAAAACCCAAGGACCAGGCCTAAGACCAGGCGGGCATTGGCTTCAGAAAAACCACGGACCCGGCGGGCCTAAGCTGACCGAGGGGATTTGGATGCCCAAGAAGCTAAGGAGGTGGGCCTTGGGTTGTTTTAGAAAACTCAAGGACCAGGCCTTGGGTTTGGGAGAACCCAAGGCCCGCCAATCACTCTTGTTAGCCTAGTGGTGCCGGCCTTGCTGCCATGACACTAGGGCGGATGCAGCAATGATGCCTTCCATCACAGAACAGTGCGAGTAGACTAGAGTAGACCTTAGGCTTGCAAGAAGAGTCAACGCGACCCCCCATCAGCAGCTTCACACGTTCCCGCAGCACGTGTTCGGCGAGCCATCCCATGTAGCATGCAGATTGTCCAGTTGCCATGTCGCTCTTCTGCCTTGCTGACTTTCTCAGCATCCCGGCTACGTGACTGGCACTTGGGTCCGTGGGTGGCGGCCACTGTGGAGCCTGCGAGACCCACGGAAGTCGGCGCTTCCGTCTGGGTGCTCGCTGAGGGAGTGCAGGACGCTTCGGCTGGGCCATGGATTGTTGTACGCATCCTTGAGGAGCTTCTTATCCTGGAGCGTCATGACTTGTCGTTGATCACGCGCCCAGTCGCCATCCTGACTGTTTTTGCGAGAGTGCAGCGCCTCGCTGCAGACAGGGTCACTCTGCGGTACCGCTTTGGAAGCTTCCCTTCCTGGCACACGGTGCACAGTTTCCGCGAACAATGCACTTTCTCGGAACTCTGGACACTAGCAGACGTGAGCAACTACGTCTTCGGCTGCATCTTCTATAGGTTTGCGCAAGTGTTCACGCCGCCGGAGTTCCGCACGTACGCGCTGGTCCTGGAGCACAAGCGCTGTCGCGGTCGTGAGCGACTGACCTTGAGAACGTTCTTGAGCATAGCTGACAGCAGCGAGTACTCATCTAGGTCAGAGTCGGAGGCAGACTAGTGCTGGAAGCTACCACGCTTCTCTGTTGCAACGCAATACTGTGCGCTTCGGGCTCCGCGCCTGGGTCCCGCTGGGGCAGCTGGCGGGGGCGTTTTCAGAAGCGGAAATAAGCAGCTTCTTTCCGCTCGCCATTGGCTCCGCGCCTGGGCCCCGCTGGGGCAGCTGGCGGGGGCGTTTCCAGAACCGGAAATATCTGGCGGGAGCATATTCAGAAGCTTTTGTTTTAGACACTGCCTAGGTCCGCGCGCAGAATGGGCTTTAGCCGCCTTCGGGCGGGGCGAGGCGCTGCCACGAGCCGCATCATGCGACGTCGCTGACTTTGGGGCTTTGGGCAAAAAATGCTGGAAGTTGTTCTGCCTTACCGGCATATTGAGATTGAGACCGAGACAGATGACATTGTGCACAAACAAAACTCTGTCAGCAGCCGCTAAGCTCAAAAAGGGACATTTGTTTCAGCGTTTGGCACCTCGACCATGTCGCTTCCTAGCCACATTTCGATCGGCGCGAAAACTGCCCGTCAGAGGGGCTATGAGTACCATTACGACTTGGTGAAAGTCGGGGAAATAGAGATGTACATGTTGAGCAGTGCGAACAGAAAGGATGACGAGAAGTTGGTGTTGCAGAAAGAAAGCCCCTTTTGGGTTGCTTACAACATCAAGGAGTCCGAGGACGGCGTGATCGATTTTGGACAGCCGCGCTTCCGCACAAAAGAGAACATGGTCGAGAAGGGTTGGCACTCATGGGAGATGTACGACGTTAAGTCCGGACAGTGGGCAGGCGATCTTCAGTGCTCGACTGAGTGGTCGTAATGACGAGGCCTGTAGCCATAGAGATCTCACCAGAATGGCTTTTGAACAGTAGCCGCAAGGGGAAAATTCTCCCCAAGGCCATTCTTCCCATTCTTCCCAAGGCCCTAGCAGCATGGGCTTTAACCGCCTTTGGGCGGGGCGAGCCGCTGCCGCGAGCCGCATCCCTTTGGGCCTTTGGAAAAAATGATGCTGGAAGTGGTCCTGCCTTACCGGCGTCGAAATGTTGGGACCGAAAGAGATGACATTCTGCGGTAGGGGCATGAGCTCGTAAGTTTCCTGGCTGCTGCTGTTTACGTGAGCTAGCAAGAAAGACATTGCCAAGCAACACCAATCACTGTTGTTAGCCTAGTGGTGCCGGCCTTGTGCCATGACACTAGGGCGGATGCAGCAATGATGCCTTCCATCACAGAACAGTGCGAGTAGACTAGAGAGTAGACCTTAGGCCTGCAAGACGAGTCAAGGGGCCCCCCCATCAGCAGCCTCACACGTTCCCTCAGCACGTGTTCGGCGAGCCATGACAAAGAGGTCCTGGCCCGCGGGTGTTACGTCTTGGGAGGACACAGTGAAGTTTGCACAGCTGCTGTTTGGCATGGACATTCCTTTTGAGAACTATTCAGAGAGACTGCCGCACGCAACAGAGAAGTCGTTCCTTCTTTTCGCCAAGGGCGCATGCGCAGAGGGAAGGCCTCTGCGCAAGATCCAAGAATTCATTCCAAAGCAGATGGAGGAGATTGCAGAATGGGAACAAAATGTTCGTGGCAACTCGTCTAGACCGACCAAGTCGCAGCAGATGCTCGGAAGGGATAAAAGCCAGGTGTATTACTGGAGCGTGCAGTTGACGCGTGCTTCCTGTTTGTGTCGTTCGGTCTTCGGAGCTGATGCTCATCAGAAACATGTGCCGACCTCTGCAGAAGTCTGGGGGACCGCGAGCAAGTTCGCGAAACTATGGGACGCTACCTTGGCACGGAACTATGCTCACTTTCAAACTCCACACATGCGCCCAATTTGGCTGGACAAGACGTGGCAGGTTTTGTGGAACTGGAACGACCACAAGCAGCACCATCACATTGAACCTCACGCAGACTTATGTGCCACATACAATCATCTGGATCCTATCGCTTCTTTGTCCTTCGGTCATGGGGGTGTACTGACTTTGACGTCCAACATTAAGAGGTCCAAGACGCCAGTTGGACCGACGAAGATGTTGTACCAGTCAGACGGGGACGCCTTGCTGATGGCTGGACAGTTTCAATCAGAGTTTTTGCACGGCGTACCTGCGCGCCGCACCTGGAGTGAATTGAGGTCCAGTTCCATGTATGCCGGAATGCAGACGTGGGAGAAAACGGGGATGAGCCGGGAGATTGAGATGCACCAGGGAGCTGTGACGGATGACCCGCATGTGCGCATGAATTGTACAATCCGCTGGCACTCCTCACATTTCCCGGGCTGTCCGCAGGCCTTTGCTGATCCATCCGTTCTGGCTCGGCCGGGGGAGTTGTCTACTCCAGCTGCAGGAAGTCGCCAGCGGACTCCACCGAAGGAGTCTTCTACTCAAGCAACTCAACCGCTTTTGACTGGGGCTGCCCAGGCACCAGCTGCCCGCGTGCAGGAACCACCTGTTTTTAGCGGCATCCGGAGGCAAGATTCTGTAGACGAGCAGCCAAGCTCTTCCAAGACACAGCGCCTGTCGAGCCTCGAAGAATCGCATGAGACGATTCGGCATCTTTTGGCTTGTATTGACGCGTGTGTTCGACACAGCGAGCTGTTCGCGCTGGCAATTAATGGCACACCATTGGTGGGAGCCACGTCGGTCCATGAGAAAACATTGCAGAAGATCGTCGAGACGGTCGACTGCCTGAGGCGGCAGCTCTTGATCGCGTCGGAGGCCGTCCAGAGATGTGGCTTCGACGAGTCCAAGGCAGACGGGAACTGAAAGCGTTATCACGGCATTGAGACCACACGGAAACTCCAAGTCTAATTCAGAAGTAGTAGTCCAACCAGGATTCTAGTCTACGAGGCCTTCACAGAACCCTTCTTCTACTTGCAGCTTTCAATTTCATGGAATCGTGAACCCCTATGAACCTCTAACGGAAACCCTACATAACGTTTCGGGAAACTCTAGAGCTTGGGTGCGGAGGCTGACGCAGTCAACTACAAGGCGCTCGACGTCATGGCACTGGCCGCGCAGCAGCGAAAAAACATCCAGAGACACCTCGGCGAGTTTCTCGTGTCAGACCTACGGGGAGGAGGGTCTTGGATGATTGAGACAAAAAACCGGCCAACCCAGAACTGCTTGAGGCAGGACCCACAGTACCGGAAGTGTTTGCTTTCGCATCACCAATTGGCGTTATTGCTGCAAGAGGCCTTGAGTGAAGACATGATGCGCCAGCATCAAGAGATCGCACTGGACCTGAGAACTCACGCTGCAGTGCTGCCAGAGAAGGTGACATGTGCAAAGAGACACGCTCTAGCCAAGCAACATCTAAATGAAGATCTGGGTCTGGACTCATATGACGTGCCATCGGGCTCCGTGGTCCTGCTCAAGGCCGTGGAAATTGGCTATGTGAGTGTGGGGGACGGTAACGAGGCTCGTAGAATCCAGACGAATAGGAATCTGTGGTCGAAGCTGACCGAGGAGCTGACAGTCGCAGAGATTGCAACTAGCGTGAGATCAGGGATCCTGGCAGCCCTGGAGCATCTGCGCACCTTGGATGTTGACCGGAAGTTTTGTGATCGGACCACCGGAGAGACAGCTAGCCATAACTACGATGTTTGGGTCTGGCTGACAACGGCGACCTCTCCGAAGCGCTGAGATGGCTGCAACGCAATTAAATTGCTTTGAATCTGCCATCCTTTTTTTTTAAACACTGCTTGGTCGGTCCGCGCGCAGCATGGGCTTTAACCGCCTTTGGGCGGGGCGAGCCGCTGCCGCGAGCCGCATCATGCGACTTGACTGCCTTTGGGCGGGGCGATAAAAAATGCTGGCATCGAAATGTTAAGACCGAGACAGATGACGTTGTGCAATCGGGGCATGAGCTCGTGCGTTTCTTTGCTGCTGCTGTTTTACATGAGCTAGCGAGAAAGACATACGATGTTTGGGTCTGGCTGACAACGGCGACCTTGAGAACGTTCCTGAGCATAGCTGACAGCAGCGAGTACTCATCTAGGTCAGAGTCGGAGGCAGACTAGTGCCGGAAGCTGCCACGCTTTTCTGTTGCAACGTAATACTCTGCGCTTCGGGCTCCGCGCCTGGGCCCCGCTGGGGCAGCTGGCGGGGGCGTTTTCAGAAGCGGAAATAAGCAGCTTCTTTCCGCTCGCCATTGGCTCCGCGCCTGGGCCCCGCTGGGGCAGCTGGCGGGGGCGTTTCCACAAGCGGAAATATCTGGCGGGAGCACATTCAGAAGCTTTGTTTTTTTTGTTTACACTGCTTGTTAGGTCCGCGCGCAGCATGGGCTTTAGCCGCCTTTCGGGCGGGGCGAGCCGCTGCCGCGAACCGCATCATGCGACATCACTGCCTTTGGCCCTGTGGACAAAAACTGCCGGAAGTTGGTCTGCCTTACCGGCATGTTGAGATTGAGACCGAGACAGCTGACGTTGTGCAATAGGGGCATGAGCTCGCAAGTTTCTTTGCTGCTGCTGTTTTAATTGAGCTAGCAAGAAAGACATTGCCAAGCAACACCAGTCACTGTTGCTAGCCTAGAGCGGTGCCAGCCTGCTGCCATGACACTAGCCGTCCCGGATGCACCAATGATGCCTTCCATCACGGAGCATTGCCCGCCAAAGATCTACATCGGCACGAAGCGTCGCTTTCAGCAAGGACCTGTGTGGTGCTACGAGCTTGCCAAGGTTGGTTCCAGTCCCAGGCTGATCTACGTATGCAAGTCGCCTCCAGAGACCACCCATGGTAGCAATGATGATGTGATGTTCATCTGTGAAGAGCAAGGGGGGTACTTCGTTGCCTACGAAGGAAAAGTGGTGAATACTCCAGACAGCCAGGCGCTGGTGCAGCGAGGTGCTGCCACAGAAGCCTTCTGGGAAGCTGGAGATCACCGCTGGGAGATCAATTCCATCCCAACTCGCGCCAGTTATGATGCTCCGTGGGAGAATCCTAATTGGGAAAGCAGTGGCTGGAAGGTCCGCACGCAGCATGGGCTGTAATTTGGGCGGGTGAAACGCAATTAAATTGTGTTGAATCTGCCATATCTTTTTTTGAAACACTGCTTGGCAGGTCCGCGCGCAGCGTGGGCTTTAACCGCCTTTGGGCGGGGCGAGCCGCTGCCGCGAGCCGCATCATGCGACTTCACTGTCTTTGGGCCTTTGGAAAAAAAGATGCTGGAAGTTGTTCTGCCTTACCGGCGTCGAAATGTTGGGACCGAAAGAGATGACGTTGTGCAGTAGGGGCATGAGCTCGTGAGTTTCTTGGCTGCTGCTGTTTACTTGAGCTAGCAAGAAAGACATTGCCCAGCAACACCAATCACTCTTGTTAGCCTAGTGGTGCCGGCCTTGCTGCCATGACACTAGGGCGGATGCAGCAATGATGCCTTCCATCACAGAACAGCTTCGTGTACCCGACGAACGAGGCTGGGACGCGCAACAGCATCACGGATGGCCGAGAGGTGGCAGGGACACGTGCGGCGCATGAGGAGGCGGGACGCCTTGCAGTCTTGTCTGTGCATGCGCCGGACACTCACATGCTGCTTGCAGTCTTGTGCGTGCGCTGGACACACACACGCTGGCCCACCCTGCCGCTGATGCAGGTTCGCCGGGCCGTCGGCTGGTTGCTTGCAGTCGATGCTCATCGGATTGACGGTCCCGGGGAGATGCTGATCACGCGCAAGCTGACGCAGAGGCTGCCCGACTCCCTGACGTACGCGTCAAGTGAGCACTTATGGCGGTGCTTGGAGGACGTCTCCATGCTGACCCTCGCGGAGACGGATGCTTTGCGACAGGAGGTTCGCGGGCTGTTCTTTCTCTTCGATGCCTTGCAGACCAAGCTCCTGGGCGACCCGAACTTGCCGTGGGCCACCAAGACCCGGGTGCAGCAGCGAGTGCACGAGAGGATCATGCGCGCAGAAGAACTGTTTGAGTCCGAGCGCCCGGAAATGCAGGGGCAGCGCTCGAGTCTGCGCCTGAGACCTTGAACGGGCGTGGCGGCCCAGGACGGATTCTTGTCCTGGGCCGCCGGGCTGGAGGCTAATTCGGAATTATTGTGGATGATGTTTCCAGGAGGTTGCCGCCAGTAAAATGGCCAGAACACGTAGAGACATTGAGCGAGAAATAGTCTACTTGTAAGGAAGGGCGTCCTCGAGCATCGTCCTGCAGTCGCGCGCAGCATGGGCTTCAACCGCCATATGGGCGGGGCGAGCCGCTGCCGCGAACCGCATCATGCGACTTCACGGCCTGTGGCCTCTTCACGAAGACTTTCCCGTGCGTGTGCCTCCTGAGAAAGATTGTCCTGTGCACGCATGGTGTTGACAAAGATTGTCCTGTGGGTCAACATCCTAAACTCCCGTGGGCATCGAGCATTGAGCATGTTCCTGGTTGCCGTGTTCCGTCCTTGCTGCGCTGTTCTCGGTCCAAATAGGGGCGAGTGGTCTTGCCGAGGCAAGGCTGCCTACGCGCATGAAGAAGCCAGCGGCCGCGGAAGGCCGCCAGCGTCCCGGCAAGGGCACGCTGCCTCATCATACCTGCAGCGACGAAGCAACGGGGTGTTCTCCTCTCAGGAAAGACATCTCCGTCGCAGATGAGAAGGAGTTTGAGCTTCTGCCCCTCTACCACCGCCTTCTACGGCACAGGCAGGAGGACGCCCAGGCTGGCTCCGATGATGGTGTTGCAGTTGATGTCCCGGCCTGGGCGATGCGTTATCTTGAGTGCAGCGCGGCAGACATGTGCAAAAGCGCCGCGGACTTCAGCGCGGACGAAGTGCTAGACATTGTTCAGTCCGCCGCAAGGTGCTCTTCCGGCTCGACCGCGGACTTTCAAGACGAGGACATGGAGGCGATGCCGGCGCCAGCAGCCAAGCAGGCCAAGAAGGCAGCAAAGGCGCGGGAAGCTTCAGCGAGACAGCTGAAGGAGACGCGCTGGGGTCGTTGTTTGGCGCCATGGTGTCGCCGGCTGGCGTTGCAGCCCGTGTTGGGTAGGCGAGGCCCCTTTTTGGTCTGCAAGGGCAAAAATGGTTGCCACTTCAAGAAAGAGCTGTCCGCAGCCCAGTGGCGCACGCTGCCTGCTGCCTGGCAGAAGTACTGGCCGGCATCTTGGGCGGCAGTCAAACCGCAACTGCGCCCCTGCAGGCCCGCGGCCTACCTCGGCGCCGCTCGATCTGTACGAGTGCGATGCCGTTCGGGCGGGCAGCCAGCAGAGGCGTCCCAGAACGTCTTCGATTCACAGGACTCGTCGGATGCAAGTCTCTCCCAGGCAAGAAGTGCAGGGGACGGATCCGAGTGACATGAGCGTCGAGCAGAAGTTCGAGGTGTGGGAAGCCTGTGAGGCGGCACGGCGTCTTTCAATCGAGGCTGGCTGTCATGATCGCAGAAACGTCCCCATACCTCGAGACTGTGTTAGAACGCCTCTGACGGCCTCGAGACTGTGTTAGAACGCCTCTGACTGTTCCGCGCATGAAAGTATGATCACTTAGTGAAGAGGTTCCTCGGAAGTCTGAAAGCATGATGCCAGCCTGTGCTTGCACGCCAATGACTCAGTAGGCCAATGCTGAGGGCCTGGCGGCCCAGGACAGACTCTTTTCCTGAGCAGCCGGGCTGGAGGCTAATTCGGAATTATTCTGGATGATGTTTCCAGGATGTTACCGCCAGGAAATGGCCAGAACAAAAGTGGAGACCGTCCCTGCTTTGCCAGCTGCTGCGACCCTCGCTCGCTGGAGTGAACATTGATGAGTTGGCACGAAGCTGCTTTTTGCTTGAGCCACCTGAAGCCTCAAGCTTTGAAGTTCACGGACGGTTCGAACAGCCCCTGCAGGATCACGTGCCGCTGCGACATCCGGGCAAGCTCTCGAAGCTTGCTGATGCGCCTGCCTGGGGGAGTTCAGAATCTACTTGACGACAAGTACACCGCATCATGGGACTTAACCGCTTTGGATCGGGGCGGTCCGACGCATGGAGATGTTCAGCGCAGATTCTGCCACGCTGTCTGCGCTGATGGTCTTTCTAGCTTGCAACCACAACCCAAAACCTAAACTCCCAACCCAGACCCTTGAGTGCCTTAAGTGCACTCAACTCAGCACCGCAGACAGCAGCTGATCGCTTCAGTACTCCATGGAGGCACTGCAACAAGGAGACAGTTTCGATAATCGCACGCAGCCAGCAGCGCGCTTATGAGTGTCTTCTCAATCATCCCTAAATCCTTGAACATCGGCAGCTGTTTCAGCGCAACTTTTCAAGCGGTGCTCCATGGAGACGCATCGCCAGCAGAAACACAGCAGAAAGAGTGTCGTGCACGCATGGTGTTGACGAAGATTGTCCTGTGGGTAAACATTCCAGACTCCATTGGGCATCGAGCATTGAGCATGTTCCTCGTTGCCGTGTTCTATCCTTGCTAGCGTGAGTGCCGCAGGCTTCCACGGTTTGCAGTCAAGCGGCAGGCGGAGCTCCTCATGGCAGACTCCGGTAGGAGGCCTGATGGCTTCTTGGGGTTCCTCCAAAAATCCCGAGACCGCGCCATGTCCAGCAAGTCGGACGCACGGCTGGTATCGTGCATCCAGGCCGCTGACGAGACCCGTCGTAGCCGGAGCCCAGCATCCGAGTCCATTCTCCCCACCGACACCGTCCCAAGCCCGGAGCAGAGCTGCCGCAGCCCGGC